ATGCAGAATCCTGTGGACTCCCAAGAGAGCATATAACCATGACAAGAAACTCCAGAATGTTTCAAAAGAGGCTATTAAAAACCGTAAAAGAAGGAATTAGGAATTAATATAGGATAGAAAAGAACATAACTCTCAATGCAGGATTTTAAAGCTTAATTAGCTAATTAGAAAACAATGTACAACAGAAAGTTTCTGAAGAGGTATTGAGAGATTTACAGATTTAGAACACACATGCACTGAAATGGAGGGAATTCTGACAAAAAAGCAAAAGCCAACGATGTTTAAAAAAAAAAACATGGATTCTATAAAAGCTGAAGTGATTAATTTTAAAGATAGGATGAGCAGAGCTAATTTAAGAATCATAGATCTTTCAAAATGACAAACCAAAAACCATGAGCACTACAATGTGGGAAACGCAAGAAAAGTACCCAGAACTTACTGAATAGTATGGGGAGGTGAGGACACCAAGGGATTCTAGATATTGCCTCCAGAAAAACAAACAAAAAAAGATGCCAAGAATCCTAATGCGGTTCTGATGAACTAGCAGAGAAGGCTAATCCCTAACTCACATAAGTAAGATCTACAAAACAATCATAGAAAAGGAAACTCAGAATAGATACCTTACAAGTTTTCATTTCTTGTGGAATTCAGAGTCTAAAGAAGGAAGAAATAAATATAAGGGCCATGAATCAGAATGAAAGTCTAGGATAGACAAAGGGAAGTGAAATAATGAAAACAATAAGGCAAAGAATTCCTTTTTAGTGTGAAAGTGAAAAATCGATACCCCAACTTTATTCTGTATTGTTAATTGAGAATTGTGTCTAACACTGGAATCATACTTATGGATCAAATTTAAATTTGATCATATAGATCATAGTAGTAGTAGAGCTTGTGCAAGTTTAACTTTGCTGTTCCTCTGGGTAACAGCCTGGACTCAAATCTCTCACCTTAGATGGGGGGGAAATAAAAATGGGATACTGTGGGAGGATTTAAACAGAACTTTACAGTATGAGAGTGTAGGAGGTGTCTGTCTTATGTGTGTTTTTGCTTATCTATTCCAGCAAGTGTTTCCAGGTGTTTTGTTCCATGTCCTGATAACTCAACCTAGCTTTTTCCTTTGGTCTGATCAACCAAGGGAAAAAGACTAACAAGTGAAACTTTGAAAGGTCTTCAGAAAAGACAAGTCTCTCTTTTCTCTCTAAATTTCCAACTGGCCAAATTGAAAATTGCAGAGATGAAAAACATTTTAAAAAAAAGAATTAGAGAAATTTTTGATTTGTATTTTTTTCCCTACTGAAAATTTTAAATTATGATTTGAATGTTTTTATGAGTATTTTGATGACTCTTTGAGATACTAGTTTGTAGAGATCGTTTAAATAGGAATAAAACTTTATAAAATTTGATGAAAACAAATTTTGGAAGATTAGGTTACTTCACAAAAAGGAAGAACTTTAGGATGACTTGAGGCTGCTTTTAAAATTGCAGTTTGAATTTTAAGAACTGTTTTATTAGCCATGAAATCTCTTCAGTAGTGATTCAGTAAAATTCAGAAAAATATTAAGATAAGAACAACTCAGGAAAATAGTACAGGAGAAATTAAAATAAAACTTCTGTTAGTTTAAATAATTCCACAACTAAGAACTTACAATGAAATATACTTGCTATTTAACATTAAAGAAATATGTTAGAGAATTAGACTGAGATTAGACCTCTAGCTGCTTAAGTCCACTTCCCCAAAGCAGTTTCAGTTTGTCAGTCTCTGAGTCTGAAGCTTTGGGATGCTACTCTGTGGAAAAGATACACTTAAAAACTGCACTTAAAGAGAATGAAAAATTTATTGCAGGATGGAAATGTGATTTTACCCCTCTGATTAAAAGGCAGAACAGGAAAATTTTAGACCACCTTCAGTTTTCTCTGTCCAAAGGGATAAAAGTAAGTAAAGTTGGAATTTATTTACCATCCTGTTACTACTTTTAAACAACCAACCTGAAGACACCAAACAAGCTCTGTTATCTATGCTACGTTAGCCCCTACGATGAAGCTCTCAGATTGAAGGTGAATCCCGAAGTGCTCCCAGAGAGAGAAAGGCTTGTTTTAAAATCAGGAAGCAACTGAAAAGTAAGTAAAATTTAATATTTTCCTGGGAAGATTATAGTCAGTTAGAGTAAGAGTTACTGAAGACAGAATTTGACAAGAACATAAATGATAAGTTAGGATAAGAGAATAGAAGAAGTGGACTTAGCCTTTGAGTGATTTGAAAGGAAATAGAAAAAATTACACCTTGAGCCCTTCAAAAAATTAATCTCCATCAGACTTTTTTTTCAGTAGTGCAATTCCTATTAACTCCAATATATGAAGTCAAAATTATATTTTAATAAAAGCGCAGTTGAAATGGCTGACCAACAACGACCCTGGGCAAGTCACTTAACATATGTCTGCCTCAGTTTCTTTATCTTCAAAATAAGGATAATAATAGCACCCACCTCCTATTAAGTGTCAAGTGTCTGGTCTGAATTTGAACTCAGGTCCTCCTAACTCCAGGGCCATTGCTCTGTCTACTGCACCGCCTAGCTGCCCCTTCTAAGGGCCTTTCTAATGCAAACCATTGCTGACCATTTGGCAATGAGGAAAACTTGCTTTACTATCAAAGAGTTAATAAAATTGGTATAAAGTCATTAAGGAAAGCTATATCAAGGCTATATCAGTTTCTTTAAATGTCAAAGGGTTTGTATAAGTGTACTGTCAAATAATACTGTTTAATTTACATTTAATTGTTTTTCTCTTGACAGTAGATTACAAACAATAATTTAGTGGTTTCCCGCAAGAAATCCAGAAGTCCCACAATACAACGATTCTGGAGACAAGTCTTTGGGGGTTGTGACCACCTCCCCTAAAGTACAGAACCAGAGTTCTATGATGGGAACAGGTTCTATAATCTTTCATTCACTTTACTTAAAGTCCAGTCATTTGTGAGTGTCATCAGGTTTGACTAATCAGTTCAAGCTGCATTGTGAGCTCTGACTCCTGAGCCAGAGAGTCAGCTCTTGAGAAAACTAAATTATTAGTATATTCATTATGCATGTCATATCTATTAATATGAAAATTATAAATTCCTTTCTCAGAGACAAACATAAAACTTCTAACTACTTAATTAGATACAATAATAATCTATAGTATTGGAAAATATCACATATTTTGTAAAAGGAGGAGGCAATTAGGAACTAAGATTTTTCAAAGTCAAAGAAAAAATGCTTACAAGTTTCTTTGCATATTAAATACCAGCACCAAAATTAAAGTTGCTTTCATACAATGCTATTAAACTATAAACTGGAAAAAGGAAATGGTTAAAATATGAAGAAAATGGTTATTTTTCAGTGGTATCCAACTCTTTGTGACCATTTGGGGTTTTCTTAACAAAGAAATTGCTGTGGTTTGCTATTTCCTTCTCCAGCTTATTTTATAGATGAGGAAACCAAGGCAAACAAGATTAAGTGACTTGCTCAGGGTTACACGGCTAGCATCTAAAGGCATATTTGAACACAGGCCTTCCTGACTCCAAGCCTAGCGCTCTATCCACTGTACCACCTAGCTTCCCAAAAGAAAATGGTAGATAGTAATAAAAACTTACTGTTATAAGAAGCATAGCAAAGACCCTTTAAGATACCAATATCTGTGACACAGTTGGACTCTGGCCAGTCCCCCTGATCATTGCCAAGTAAACTCCTTTATGAAATAGATAGATGAATGCTTCTCTAGCATAAAAGAGGTTAACTTTGAGAGGGAGATAGATGACTTCTCCAGTCATGCAGCTTAAAGCAATAGTGATACTCTACAAGGAAGAAGTAGGAAGGACCTCGAACTTTGCAATTGTGCTGAGTGAATTTTGTTTGGGTTTATTTGACTATCACTTACAAAAACTGTGATTGTAACCAATTCTAATGGCCCCAAAGGCCTCAGAGAACAGTTAAACTCCCAAAGACATTAAACCTTTGCAAGTATTTCCAGCAAACAGCTCCTTCCAAAACAATGAAGAAACATGTCCCTGAACTTGTTTGTTGGCTTTGACACATACAATTTTCACTATTGCTCTTTGTGGAAATGATTCTCCAGGTCTTTGTTGTTATCTGCCTAATTGATACATGAAGTTAGACAGTGGACCAAAAGAGAGATTGAGACAGGACAGTGCTTTCCTCTTCCTGTAACTGCACAGTGCTTACCACAGTGCCTATCTTGTGGTGAACATCAATCATATCATTGTTTCCTGTTGTTATAAGGTTACTTTAAAGTTCTAAATGAGTTAAGCAGTGTGGAAATGTGTTCAATTGAATTAATGTTACCCAAATTGTAAGAAGTCTAGTTTCATGTTTTAAAATGCAGGAGACTGTATAAAATTTTTCTAAAGTTTTGAGCAATACTATTAGAGAGGCATCTTCCCTTCACATTATGCATTAGGCTGGCCAGTTTTGTTTTGTTTTTTTTTTTAACAATTATTAAATGAAGTATTTATCCTTCAGAATCGCTAATAATGATAACTTACTGTGCGGATACAAGTTACACACATACCCTCTCAGTTCCTTAGACTTTCTATTTGCCCGAGGTTATGGGATATTATTAGTCCTGCTGCTAAAGTAAGGTTGAAATCTGGGAAAATAAGCCAAGAAGGGAAACCTTACTTTTTTAAAAAATCGTTTTATCTGGGAAGTTCTTTGCCCATTGCTTCTGAAAATTACTGTGCCTGGCATCTTTAAGCCTACATAGTAATGGTAGACCTTAAATTTAGAGATTTTATTTTCCTCTTAGGATTTAATAAGCAATACAAACATTTGCCAGTTTAGGCACTTTATGACGGTAACCTAGCCCTAACCTATAATTTGTGAAATTTTGCTGTTTGAGGAAAAGTCTCTTGGGATTTTAATCTACTTGCTGTTCTGAGTTTTGATTTCAAGTATAATTTGTCTGATACCTCTCATATGGCCACTAGTCCATCATTCAAGGGAAATGCCATATGCTCCTGCAGTCTGAGGATTAATACGGGTGGATGTCCATCTCCGGGAAAGTCGAATGAACAACTTTGAGAAGGTGAAGGTAGGCTCCTCTTGCCTTACTTTCCCCAACTTGATCAACAAGACATTTTCCCACCTAGGTGTATCTGAGCCTGGCTGTGATATCCTGTGGCTCATGATGAGCCTTTCTGTGTGATTTATCTATTGACTATGACCCTTTTTTTTTTCAGAGAGGCCCAGGTAAGTGTGAAGTGTCTGAGACCAGATTTGAACTCAGGTCCTCCTAACTCCAGTGCTCTATCCACTGCACCACCTAGCTGCCCCCTAACTATGACCCATTTTGTTGTTCATTGTTCAGTCATTTCAGTCATGTCCAATTCTTTGTGACCTCATTTTGGGTTTTACTGGAGTGGTTTGTCATTTCCTTCTCTGGCTCATTTTATGGATGAGAAACTGAGGCAAACAGGGTTAAGTGACTCGCACAGGTTCACACAGCTAAGTATGAGCCCAGACTGGAACTCAGGAAATCTCCCTGATTCCAGGCCCAGCACTCTATCCCCTAGCAGTGAAGTAGTTAACTAAAGGGTCAAGACTGGGAAGAGAGAAGAGTATAGCCAGAAGAGGAATGAGGGCATGAGAAATACTGAGGGGCTGAGAGAATGGAAGTTACAGAGCAAATAGATTTAGGAGTACAGAATACAAATCTCCCACCTGGCCATACCCCTCTGGACTTCTCCATCATGCCCCTGTATGATGTACCTTCTCAGGATTTTAGCTGAGACTTGAAGAAAACCAGGGAACCCAGAAAGCAGAGATGAGGAAGCAGAGAATTCAAGGCATGGGGGAGAGCCAACGAAAATGCAGGGAATGAGGAGATGGTGTGTTGTGCACAGGGAACAGTGAGAAGGACAGTGTCCGAAGGCAGCAAAGACTATGAAGAAGGGAATAAGCTAGAAGAAAATGGGAAAGCTGGGAAGGAGCCAGCTTCTGAAGGACTTTGAAAGCCAAGTTGGGATTTTGTGCTTGATCCTGGAGGTAATAAGAAACCACTGGAGGTGATTGGAAGGGAAGAGAGGCATGCACCATTCCTTGCATTTTAGGAAGATCAATTTTAGAGCTGAGTAGTGTAAACTGGAGTTGGGAGAGATTCACTTGAGTCAGGGACACCAACTACAAGGTTATAGCAATAGTCCAGTTCTGAGGCGATAAGGGCTGGCACTAGGGTGGTTGCACTGTAAAAGGAGAGGAGGCGTACATGAGAGATGTTACAAAGGCAGAAACAAGACTTGACCACTGATTGGACAGGAGGGTGGGAGATGGAGAGAGTGAAGAGTTGAGGATGATACCTGGGTGCTGAGCCCAGGGGACTGGGAGGGTGGTAGTACCTACATTAAATAGGGAAGTTAGAAAGATGGGAGGATATGGAGGAAAGATACCAAGTTCAGTCTAGGGCATGTTTAATTTAAGATGTTCCATGGGACTTCCAGTTTGAAATGTCTAAAAGGCAATTGGAGATGTGACACCAGAAATCAAGAGAGAGATTAGGGCTGGACAAGGAGATCTGTGAGTCATCTACATAGAAATGATGATTGAAACTATAGGAGCTGATGAGATTACTAAGAGCAATAGTATATAGGGGGAAGTGAAGAAGGCCCAGGACCTCTTGGGGAATCCCCATCATTAGTAGGCATGACGTAGGTAAAAATCCAGCAAAGGAGTCAGATAGGTAGGAAGAGAACCAAGAAAAAGAAGTGTCGCAAACACATACAGAGGAGAGAGTATCAAGGAAAAGAGGGTGATCAGCAGTGTCAAAGGCTACAGAGAGGTCAGGAAGGATGAGGGTTGAGAACTGCCTTTAATGTTGGCAATTAACTTTGGAGAAAGTTCAGAAACCAGATCACAAAGAGTTAAGAAGAGAAGGAAAGGAAAGGAAATGGAGGCACTTATTATAAATTTCTTAAGGAGTTTAGCCATAGGACATAGTTAGCAAGGATGAGCAAGTGAGGCTTTTTCAGGGATGGAGAGGAGATGGACATATTTGTAGGCAACAGAGAATCAGCCAGTAGATTGGGAGAGATTGAAAATTAGTGAGAGCAGGGATGCAGTCTAGTGGAGATGGGAAGGAATGAGATCATTTGGGCATGTAGAGGAGTTAGCCTTGGTGAGGAGAAAGGTATCCTCTTAATGTGAAAAGGGGGTGAAGGAGATAGTGGCCAAAGGTATCTAAGTAGTATTGAGATGAGAAACAGAGAAGAAGAGGGAATTCTTGGTGAATGGACTCCATTTTTTTCAGCGAAATATGAGGCAAGGTTCTCAGCTGAGAGGGAGGGAGGAGGGGGAGCCATGAGAGGTTTGAGGAGGGTTGAAAAGGTTTGGAAAAGTCACTGTGAAGAGTAGGATAGTAAATCAATTAGGGAGATATAAAAAAGGATTGCCTTGCCACAACAAGGACCCATTTGAGATTATGTGTAACATAAAGGTGTAGTGGATCCAGTTAGCATGGTTTTGTGATTTTTCTCCAGCTTCATTCAGCAGTGAACGTTTGAAAAGGCATCAGATGGTAGGAATAATCCAAGGCTGGGGTTTAGAAGGGAAAGAATTTCAAAACCATGAATCTCCACTTACTTTTTTAAAGAAGTAAATAATAAATTCTGTGTTCTTTTCAAAATTGTCAAGCTTGCTTATGCTTTTCTCAACTTTCTCATTTCATTACATTTTGAAAAAGGTTTCAATGGCCCTCTCTTTTTTAGCATCTATGTTTGCTAACCCCTCCCTTCCTTTCCCAAACCCCTCCTCAAATTAAAAAAGGAGAGAGAAAAGAAAACTTATAATAAATAAACAATTAGACAAAATAAATCCACAAAGTGGACATGTCTAAAAATATATGGCCCTGTCTATGCTATGAATCCATCACCTCTCTGTAGGGAAATAGATAACGATAACGTGCTTCATCATAGGTCTTCTGGAAATACAATTAGTTATTCATTTCATTAACATCTTTCAAAATTATTTTCTTTTACATTTTTGTTGCCTATGTAGACATTGAAAATGATAGTTATGTCAGTAATTGCTAAGTTCTGTCTTTTAAAATAAATCAATTTCATTTTTTGTGATATTATAGTGCTGTATGCCTGGTGCCTCTTGATTCTTTTCTCATATAAAATATTTGTGATAAATACGTATGAATGTAGGCTTAGAGAACTTTATATAGAGGACTCTATAGAGTCCGATACAGGCCTTTAGCCTCTATCATTTCTCCCATATCTTTTTTTCCACATATTTTTCACCATCCTCTCTATTCCTCTCTTTGTACCAAAATTACTAACTATGTATATTTAATTTGGAAGGTTTAAGTACTTCTTTGAATTTCTCTAACTCCTCATGTACAACAGATGTTGGTATGTAAAGCTGCCATAATTTTCATGGTGATATTTCTGCAAATGTTTTTGAGTTCTATAATACCAGATAGCCAAATATCACATGAATATTCTTATTGCCCTGAATATACAATAAAACCAGCTCTCCTAATACCTTTATTTGCTTCTACAGGGAGAACCTGTGAGCTAACCTTCCAATTAGCTGCAACTTCCTTTGGTCTTCTGGTTTAGAAAGAATATTTTTAATATTCATATAAGATTGATAAGATTCAATTCTTCCAGTTCCATGTCCATTCACTGGTCATGAGACCAGAGTTTCAATTTAGATACAGGGAATGTTTCTATTAGGAAATAGTGTTTCCATAAGGACTACCAGTAACTGGACTCTTGTCTGTTGGCTTCAAAACTACCATAACCTGGACTGGATGGACTTACAGATTCAGTGAAAGCTCCAGAAGCATCATAGGACTTAAAGGAGAAACAAAGGAGATAGAAAGGGAAGCTGGGCCACAGCACAGAGATGCCTGCCCCCCAAGCGAATTTGTCTCATTAGATTCATGATAGTCAGGTGATGCCATGTAGCCACTAGATTTTGGGACATTTTAGGCAAGTGCTCCTTGCAGTGCTGGGGATTTAAAGATAGACAGGTGCATAATTTATAGGACCATAGATTTAGAGCTGAAAGGGACCTTAAAAGCCACCGAGGCCAACTACCTCATTTTACACAGGAGGAAGTTAGAGCTGAATCCAGTGCCTGGCACATAATAGAAAATAAATATTTGTTACCTTGACAGAGAGGTTAAGTTACTTGCCCAGGATCACACAGATAATAAGGGTCTGAGATGTTATTTGATATGTCTTCCTGACTCCAAAGCCATGCCCAATTTACCACCTTCCAATTCCGCCAAATGCAATGTAGAATTTCCAAGAGCTGTGGCAGCGTGGAGCTAAGGACTCTGCAGTCTGTCTTATCTAGCACTTAGCACTGTCTGGCACATAGTAGGTGCTCCATAAATGTTCATTCGAATATTCACTCACCTGGGAAGAAAATCAATGTAAGCTTCTTCAGTGCTTCTTAATCTGATGTAGAAAAACCATTGTTAGTTAATTGCCCATGTTCTGCTTCTGCTTTAGTGAGAGGATTGAGATCTATAAGACACTAAACTTTGGGATTTTCTTTCACCTTAAGAGACTGAACAAAGTGAAAATGACCTCCAACCTGAAAGGTGAGTTGGAACTGGAAGATGACTTGATTATTGCTTATTATGATATGTGTGTGACACTTCTTGATTTTGCCATGCTTTTGGCAAATCTAATTAAACTATTTAACTATGAGTTTGAGGCTGAAGTGACTTGTAGACAGCATGAAGGATCTAACGGAAGTAGGGATTTCTCAGTGAGATGGACCACATGAGCCAATGAGAATAGAGCCTGGGGGTAATAGGGTCTGTACCTCCCTGCCCTGGCCCCCACTGCATTTGTACAGGGCACCTATTACCTAAAGAACAAACAACTAAGTTAATGTCTATAAATAGTTTAAAAATTTGATTTTTATCACCACCTGACCCCTTTTCTACCATATTGCCTCTGTCATCCCAGAAGCAGAAGGGAACTACAGATGGCTGAGAACTGTTCCATATTTTTCTTTGTTACATGCATGGCAACAGCCAAAGAATTCATAACCAAGTGGCTTGCGTATAGGTAA